TCTGCAGAATCCCCTCACTGATTACACTGTACATGATAATCTACCTTAACCAAAATCAAAGTAGACTATCACTCACCCACACCAGATGGAAAACTGTACAGACTGTCGGTTCACACCCCATCACAAGCCAGCAAAACATCCACGAAACAAAGAAAGGTCTGTCACAGCCAAAAAATATATATATATATATATATTCCGATCTTGATGCTCAGGAACGTGAGTTATATGGCGATAACCCGGCTCTGCATCCCCCACAGGATAGCACTTACACTTGACATAGGGGATTCAATGTCTCTGTTTTGGAGACTGCTTTGATAAGGCGCCGACTTGATATGCAGCGTGCCCCTTCGGGTGGCGACCCGGACCACTGTTCGCACGTTTGTGCCTATATTCTACATAGTCCTGGCCACTACACCGCTTCTTGTCCGTGCCTCTGGTTCTTGGGAATTATGGAATGGCGGTGCTATGGTGCAAACTATTACTGCCATCTGTGATCTCGTGTGTAATTACCCTAACCTGCAACTGTTCCAGGTCATTGACCCTATGGGTACCTCGTGTACTTCCATGCCCGCCTCTACGTCTATCTCTGTGCCTGCCTCCGTACATGTCTCTGTGCCTGTTTCTGTGTCTGTCTCCTTCCAAATCACTGACTTTGTGGGTACTACGTGTACTTCTGTCCCCGCCTTTGCACCTGTCTCTGTGCCTGCCTCCACACCTGTCTCTGTGCCTGCCTCCACACCTGTCTCCATGCCCGTTTCTGTGTCTGTCTCCGTGCCTACCTCCATGTCTGTCACCATGCCTGCTTTAGTCTTCATTCCCCCACATGCTGCACTGACACCTTGTGACCTCCTTCTTTGTGAGATCACTGACACAGTTACACTTGGTTGTGGAAAGCATCGACTTTGCCGACATCACTACAACCGTATAATTTTTCGGGCCTGCTGTCGGCAGGGATGCCACCTGTATCCGGATTGTGAACATCCTCCACATCCAGATGCAGTATGTCCCATCTGTGCCTGCGGGCGCTATAGTGAATGTGCACTTAACTGTGATGGTGAATGCCCCACAATCGTCATGGCCTGCGACCGGCATGCCCTCTGCCGTGCATGCTTCAGAGGTATGGTTAATGCTAGCCACCCTGGCTCCTGCTGTGACGAAGTTGCTTACCTGAATGGTTTTCGTCCTGTAGATCAGCGGGAGGGCTGCTACCATCGCCCGCATCCTTATGACAGTTGTCCTATCTGTCGTGAGGGTCTTACTAAGACATACCTTGCATCCTGACAAAAATGTGCAGGTGCGCTGAAAAGAGTGTACAAGAATGTGCAAAGGTGGGGAACCCTTCACTAAAACTGCAAACTGTGAAGAATGCAGTAAAAGAAGAACATAAGTTTGTGTCATCTTACGTTGTTTGTACCCTGCACCCTAACACCCTCAAAAGAAAAGTCCGAAGGGTGAAAATGAAGATGAGAAATGAAGAAGGAAGTGCAGGTGCGCTGAAAAGCGAACGTGGTAGACATCTTCACCAAAACTGCAAAACTGTGAAAGAAAGAAGAATGCAGTAAAAGAAAGAAGATGTTTGGGTCACTTTTTTTGTTTTTTCTCCCTCTGCCTATCAGTTTTCCTTTTCTGCTACTCTCTTCCTTGTGTTTAACACCTCTTCCTTCACTCTGCCTCTTTCCCATAGCGTGCAAGTGGGCTGTTATGGCATACGGGGATGGGGGCAGCTCGCGCTCAACTTCATCAACGTGGCGAGCCTTGTACGTTAAGAGGCATAGTGGAGGAGGCGTTAAGAAGACTGAGAAACTGAATGATTTCAATGTGTCTTTGTTTTTTATTTTTATCCTTTGATTCAGTGTAATTTTTTTTTGTAAAACACTGAAAGAAATAACAATACTGTGAAACAAAGAATAAGAGGACACTGTTTTGTGTCATTATGGTTTGTCTGTCTCTTTGCCTGTCTGTCCTTCGCTCATCTTATTTCTTCTTCCACTTCACGTGCTTAAGCTCTTAGTCAATAGTTCTGTGACAATATATATATATAATAAAAAACCTGCACAATTTCGCACAGGCACCCCCCGCACGGAACTCCGCACGAATGTGGGGCTCGTGCGGTTGCAAGTATGCATTTTCCCTGATTTTGCCTGAAAAAAAAAGTCATAAACACAAAACAAATCCAAGCTTGCCAGACAAGCAAGAGAAGATAATCACTCTTTCTGTCCTGTTATATATAATCTTGTACCTGCAACGACTGCACGCACCAAGAGAGAGAGAGAGAGAGAGAGAGAGAGAGAGAGAGAGAGAGAGAGAGAGAGAGAGAGAGAGAGGATGTGGAGAGAGAGAGAGAGAGGTGTGTGCATGTGTGTGTGTGAGAGAGAGAGAGTGTGTGCGAGTGAGCGTGTGTGTGCGTGTGTGTGT